ATGCAGAAACCCAATTAGTTTTTGGTAAATATTTATGCTTAGTAATCACCTAATTAACATAATTAATTAACACTGATATCTCAATTACTGATCATCACATTTGAATAAAATTTGGTACATAAATGCTCTAGGACAATAGACAGGCCTGATTAATTTTGGGTTAAAATTTGTTCATATTAATTCTCTAATTAGCATAATAATTCATAATTTTTTTGTTCTGTTCTGTTCATATTAGTTACCTGATGTACATAATTAGTTTTCAGCTTTTCTATCAATATCTCATGTACAGGTAATTTTGAATTAATTTTTAATGTGTCTTCAATACTCTCAGCACACGGGAGTTCTTTCTAAGCTTTCTTTTAATTAAATTAAACTTGGAAACATAGATTTTCTGTTACATTGCGCAGACCTCATTAGTTTTACACTCAAATCTGTTCATATTAATTTTCTGATTTGCATACTGTAAAATGACTAAATTTCACTGATTTACCATTTCAGGCATATTCAGTGGGTTTTAAATTCACGGTTTCGTTATTTGGATAATTTGTTCTATGCTAAATATTACATATTCACTGTGTTTTAATTTAGCGCATTTTTCCAGTCAGCGAAATAAGCTAAATTAAAACCCAGTGAATAATTACCCCCTTTACAGTAATTAGTTTTCAGCTAAGTAATTTCGAATTATATTTAATGCGTCTCCAATACTCTCCCAGCACATGGGAGTTCTTTCTAAGCTTTCTTTGATTTTTTTTTAAGTTTGGCAGGGTAAAACAGTGCCCTGGTCAATGTTTTAATTTTAGTGATCCCCAAAATATGACCCATTATCCAAAACATCGCCCAGGGAAGTCTTTCAGATAAATAATGTTCTAATGAAAATAATGAAGTGATAGTACTATAGTGTTGTCAACGTGTGTTAGCATGTAGATCAACCTCGTATAATACTCGCTGTCCATTCACACTAAATGAAGCTAAAATGTCAATGCTAATTCATGTGCACTTTCCTAGTAATATAATTACAAGCCTGGTATATATCAGATGCCATACCAACATAAAATTAGGATGTGATTACAGTTAATTCCAGAGCAGAGGTTTCTTATAATGGCTATAAATTAAAACAACTTTTGTATGAGAATGTTTCTAATCATATATTTTCCTAATTCAGATCCCAAGTTGGAGGCATTTCCACAACCTTTTGCAACAGCTTTGTTTTCTTTCCTGTACCATCTGGCAAGCTATGAAGCTGGTAAGATCACTCACAGATCATTCAATACGCGAGGTATTATCTGAGTTTAATGTCCACCTGATTTGCTTTTGGCTGGTTTATCACTACTGTGCTGTCATTTTGTCCTGATGCTTGTAATTTGCATTCTCGCCTGTTAAAATACAGCGATAATGCCTTTGTTTGAAAGTTGTCTTGAATATTTATGAATGTCATGACAAAATAATGTCTGCTTGTTTTTATTGATGGAAATGCAACTGAGGACAGAATAGTTATTTTGTTATTTATCACTGTTTCATCTCAGTGGCATCACTTTCTTATTTTATGCGATACATAAAACTTTGCAATGTGTCATCCACTGTTGATGTACACACAATAATGCAGCACCCTGGGTGTATGAGAAACATTCACTCTTCTGTCTCTATTGTACATTTTTATCTTTTAAAAAATGTTCAGATTTGTTTTGATGTTGGTGAAGCGTATCAAAGACAAAATGCCATCTTTGTCATGACGTTTGTCCCAGTAAAGTTGCTTGCATTCTTTTATAATATAATTTGCTGATAGATTTTATTTTGCATGTAAGCTTAATAATTCATTTTCTGTGATATGTTCTGTTTTACTTTCAAAGTCATCTGTGTTTCTGTGTGCAGTTGTCTTCAAAGTTTGTGTGTATTAAGTACTATGTCAATCTGATATTTACATTAGTGTTATATTAGGTTGTGCATTTAAGAAATCTACTCTGCAAATAGTGCAAATTTCATTTGAAAGGCAAAATTTCTACAAACCTGTCCAGTTTTGAATGTAAATTACCAAATAACTGTAAATAATCAACAACAAAATTGACTGTAAATCTATGGCTACAGGCCAGCAATGGCTATTTTTCATTTTGATATAGTTTTTTGAAAGCCTCTTTTTTTTTTTTATTCACCTCAACTGTTCAGAATGTCACAGTCGCATAGGTCAGGGGTATATCGATGATGAGAAAAAATAGAACACTAGTTGAGAGCAAAACAAGCTGTAAGGTTGTTTCACTCTAAACAAGATCTTGATGGCCTTGTGTATTCAAGGCTTATTTAAATGATTGCAAACTTGTATGTCGTCATTGAATGCTCTTCTTACTATTTCCACATAGGTGGTGAAGCATTGGTTTCATGCGGTATGATGGAGTCATTATTGAAAGTAATTAGCCATCCTGGAGATGAACAAACCCACACTACTGTAAGTCTATTACAATTTTGTGTTTTAGTGTAAATAGATCAGTGCAAGTTTGTTTGACTTCAAATCTTTACAAAACGCATGTTCTCACATATGTCAGATGAGCTTCTAAAACATTTTGTGTTTGCAAAAAATCTCTAACATACCTGATTGCACAATACAGTCAAAGTATATGAAATGCCATTCTGAATTTTGTTCTCCTTCAGTTTGTTACAAGAGCTGTTAGAGTTGTAGATTTGATTACAAATCTGGACATGGGAGCATTTCAAACACACAATGGCCTTACAGTGTTCATTGAAAGACTAAAGGTAAGTTGTGTATTTGATATTTGTAAATATTGATTTTCCAGTATGAAGAACTACAGTGATCACATCCTATTCTTTCCCCTTAGAAATAGTTTTTGTTAATTAAATCACTTTTTTCAATCTTGCCGAGTTGCTCATACATTCCTTTATAGTAAAAATGTAACTTTATAAAATATACGTTCAGAATACATGTCCATTTAAAACCGACCCTACGATAGTGAAATGCATCGATTTTAACAACCGAAAAGTAGTATAAATTTGAATAATGTGAATCACATTGTTATCAATTTTAAATTAATTTTTAATATGCCTCCAGTACACACAAGAACTTTCTTTTAATAATTTAATGCTGGCAGGTTTGTTTTTCAGAACTGGTAGCACTTTATTGCATGCATAAATGTGTACCTCATTAACACTGTCTTCTTAACCTGAATAGTTTCAAAATAGAACACATGGTTTTTAATTGGAAAAACAGACTTAAAAATTAGGCTGAGGCCTCAATTATGTATTGTACATATCATATTTTTTGTATAATGGCATCATATTGTATTTTTTGTATTAGCACATCATATTGTATTTTCTGTATTGTGTTATTACTTGCATAATAGATGTGTCTGTAAACAAAATAAATAATTTTTGAATGATCCATTGATACATTAAATATTGATATTTGCTTTATATGCACTTTTAAAAGAGCAAATATGTTATCTGAGGCAGGTCGAAAACAGGGACTTGTGAATTGTCCTCTGTGTGTTCGTCTAGACCTATATCTTAGACATGCCATACATTTAAACATACATACTATGTAATATTATACCTGTGCATATCAATTTGTTTCTCAATCTGATTCAAGATGGCCGAACTTGATCAAAATCAAGTATTTCTGGCATTCCGGATACCGGATCTCGGCTGTTTACCGATTGGATTTTGTTCAAACTTGATACATACATTGAACATTGTGGGACCTTGATGTTAGTCATATTATTTTTCAGAAAGGATTCAAAATGGCTGAATGTCAATCATTTTAATATTAAAAAATCATCATAATCAAGCATCAGCTTCTGGATCCATAGCTTTGACATGTTTATGTTGAAACTATATTACAGCCAAAACAAGGTCAGCTTGGACGTTCAGTTGTGAGACGTAACAAAAAAAACGCAGCCAGTGATACATTTTGAAAATAAAAATACAAAATAAACGCAATCAGAGACGCCGACCACGCGTGTTGGTAGTAAATAGAACGCGTTGTGACACAGTCTCACCAGCCTCTTTCACTAAACGCAATATAATTATGCTATTTCCCAACGCACTTATATTTAATAGATTGACGAAAAACACCACAAGAAAAATGTAAATCAGGCATGTAATTACTAGTAACTCAACTCGAATGCAATATTCATCTCTGTAAAAGTGAATAAATTTGAACCAGCCAGCTCATGACCGGAGACGTCCGCTCGTCTTCGTTGATAACTCGACAATTCACCATGATCATGGTGGTGAACATGTTTAGCTGATTTTATTGTGTTTATTTTGTTCTTTCATACTCGAAATCTATCGCTGGCACCGTTTATTTTGTCATGTCTCACAACTGAACGTCCAAGCTGACTTTGTTTTGGCTGCACTATAAACAAAACTATATATTCTAAATTTGATAACCAACAGAGACTGTGCTTGCAATTAACCAAGGCATACATTAGATATACTGTTGTGGTACATATAAGATATTTCTGTCATGGGCACTTGTATGGATCATGTCCTGCTTGTTAGGTATTCTTTTTTAAGGTGAACTACTCTTTCAACATCTTATAACTACCAAAAAGGGTATTCCATTTGTTATTAAAATTCTGTGCTATTATGAGAATTACTGTGTTAAAATCAATATTAGAAGGCAAGCAGACTCGCATACAAATGTACAGTTGGAGACATTAACTAATAACTTGTTTTATTGCCAGCATGAGGTGGATATATGCAGACGAGAAGTGCCCTATGTCATTAGGCCAACCTTCAACAACCAACAAAATGAAGATGGGGAAAGAGATGCAATTGGTTCTCCTAGTCATCAAGATGAGGAATCTGTTGCCATGGAAACTGAAAGTGGCGCCACAGCGGGACCATCCCATGAAAGCTGGGGTAATGCAATGGATGTTGAGGGGTTTGAATACAGACATGAAGGCATGTCTCAAGAGAACAGTCCTCTTGGAAAGGGTGGCTTGCAGTGTTTCCCACAGAGAGGTGCATTGTTGAAATCAATGTTAAATTTCCTAAAGAAAGCTATACAGGATCCTGCATTTTCTGATAGCATCCGCCATGGTATGTCAAAGCTATACTGTCAATTTTGATTTTTAAATGATGAGCATAATATGGTGTTCCCATTGCTAATATGTAAATATTTAAATGTAACTACTTATACAGGGGTTTCACAAATGCATTTAATAGCAGGCAATCATCCTGTAACAACAGACCGGTGTAGGCGTTCAAGGGTGGGGGGTGTGGTGTGTCCGTGATAGACCAGAAAGTAGAAGGCCAATTTGGGCTTGTAGCAGGCCATGTGGCCGGCGACCGACTCAACAAAACCCCTGCTTATATATACATCAATATAATGTAAAATGAAAATAACACAATTTTGTAGCCCTGAAAAATTTTGTTTGGTCCAATGACTTGGAATTTCAATGAGTTCTGTGAAATTTTGTTATTACCAATTCCATAAAAAACAAAAATCGCCAACATTTTTAGTCATAGAAATGAAGCAGTTTACATAATGCAGTATTATTCACATTGACATTTTCTCAGTTTTTCTGATTGGGAAGTAACGCAAATTAGATTATTTTTGATTTTCACTTTGAATAATTTCTATTTATTAGCTCCTCTGCTCTCAGGAGTTCAGTTAACTGATCATGTTCTTAATGTGTTCATAACTATTAACATTATGCTGAGCACACTATTTCAATTTAAAATTGGCAACAGCTGTGATTTGTTTTAATTTGCCCACTCTAGTAATGGATGGATCTCTGCCAAGTTCCCTCAAGCATGTAATCAGTAATGCTGAGTATTATGGTCCATCTTTATTTCTCTTGGGTAAGTTTATTTTATTAAAATGTCACATCTTGTTTCTTCACTTCTTCTAGAGTGTTGTATCTTAGCTACTGTTGCTGCGACTACCATCAATATTTAGGTGTCACTTTTTAGTTTACCGGAGCTGTTCATATTACTGATTGTCATTGTCAACTTTACAATTTCAACTTCTTCTTCAAAACCGCAAGTCAGAATGTTTTCAAATTTGATATGCAAGTACCTTGGATGGTTCTTCCTCAGATTTGTTCATTTCATGTCATAATCTCAAATTCTCTATTTTTGGTGAATATTTTTGGTAAGAAGTGATATTTTCGACTTCTTGTTGAAAACCACAAGTTCAATTGCATTGATATTACGTATATAGGTACTACATGTGGACCTCAGATTTGTTCATTTCATATCTTTAATTTTCTAATTTTGATGAATATTTTTGTAATTTTTGGTAAAAGTGATATTTTCGACTTCTTGTTGAAAACCACAAGTTCAATTGCTTTGATATTACATATATAGGTACTACATGTGGACCCCTCTCAGATTTGTTCATTTTGTGATGATATCTTCAATTCTCAGGCTGCTTGTTTAACATTTCAGTCTTTCCCAACACCTAAATTAGTCTAATTTAGGTTTTCCATCGTCACTGAGGCCTATTCAGGAATATGATGTTTATTGTAGCTAGGATGAAAAGGTGAACTTCATTTCGACGATTTTTATCATCATTTCATGAATGAGTTTAAATTTAAAAAAATAATTTCTTAATTTAAAAAAAATGATGCGGTTTTATCATCAAAATCAATGCCAAAATATCGTACTACAACATTGATACATTTCTCTGAACTGTCATTTACATATGTAAATGAGCTGTGGTGATTTGAACAGAATGGCATCATCCACGATTCTGATTGGTTTATTAGCGACTTGACCCATCAGGTCAACTCTTGTATGGAATAAAATATGGAGGCTATTGTATCACATCAAGCATTTGCATGCGACAGAAAACATTTGCTAACTATGAAACTAAGTTGAATTTTACTTGCATTTAACAATCCAACAAATTTAATTAAGACCTCTACACTCTTCACTGAAATTAGAGATTTAATGGTAGTTTGGATATGAACGATTTACACGTTTTATATATTATAAGTTGACTTGTCATTAGTCTCCAAATGTGTTTGAGTAGTCAACAATATTTTCATCAAGCTTCAGGGAATTTATTCGTGTTCATCACTCTGTAGTGCCTATAAAATGCTCTAGTAATAAATGCCCAATGTTGTCTTTTTCTAGCATGTGAGTTAGTAACTGTATACGTATTCCAAGAACCATCTTTGCTATCGTCTCTTCAAGAGAGTGGTCTTACTGATGTCATGCTGCATGCATTACTTATCAAAGATGTAAGTAGTCACTTGGTACGTGGGTCTTTTCAAAGAAGTCTTTATTCATATATTATATGTAAGCTTTAACATAATGTCTGTGTGTTCTCCCATGGTAGTGATTATTATTTCCCATTGATGAATTTAGTCAAATGCCAGGGTTAATATACATACATATATGATTGTCTGATCTGATAGCTTACTCACTAAGTCATACTATACATCTGAAGGTACTTACTTTAGTACCCAACATAATGAATTACTGTAGAATACTTTATTTTCGCTTGGAATTTATTTTCGCTATTTTTGCTGAAGGGATGATTACGTGAAAATAAAATCCAGCGAATATACTTTTTTTTCTATATTTCACATTAAACTCATCCAAAATCAGTGAAAATAAATTCCATACAAAATGCTCAAAAAACCTTTTCAGCGAAAATTAATTCCAGCGAAAATAAAGTATTCCACAGTATGTTACTTGCGTTTTAAAAGGATTTATTTTAGAGAAATACGCTTTTATGATAACTGTTGCTATAGCATGTAATTCTGATACTTAGCAATTCATGTAATGTGTAATTCTGTACAGTATGTGCCAAAAATAGAACCACTCTAGTGGGAATATGTTTGCTGCTTCTGTGGATAATAAAAAGCAAAGACATTTCAAATTTATTTCACTTTAGTGTATCAGATGGGTTTTAAGGTAGAGATGCAGGTTTGAGGCACTTGAGAGTGACATTTTTGACTCCCGTGTGCGAAGCACAAAAGGGAGTCTTTGCAGTTACCCTGTCTGTATGTCTGTCTGTATGTATGTATGTATGTATGTATGTATGTATGTATGTCACTTTTTTTGTTCCACCGTTATCTCAAGAACCACTAATCAAATTTTGATGAAATTTGGTACATAGATGCTCTGGGATAATGCGCAGAGTTGATTAGGTTTGGGGTAAAAATCTATGAATATTAATTACCTAATTTGCATGATAATTAACTGATTTTAAGCTGTTCTAAGACTTTTCCACTGATATCTGAAGAACCACTCATTGGATTTCAATGAAACTTGGCACATGGATGCTCTGAACTAATGCA